AAGTACATTGCTGTAACAAGAAAAGCTGGAAGTATATCTATTTTTATTTTTATGGTTTTAGAATTATGATTTTTATCTCTCTAGTTTATAATTTATTACCTTTTTCGTCCTTATAATTTAAAATTTATTATTTTTTTATCCATATAATTTATAACTCATTTCTATTTTAATCATTGACACTGAAAAGGTATGTTTTGAATTTGACCTCAGGTATGAAAAGAGAGAATTGCAAATCAAGGGATGAAAACTAAAATTCTAAAACCACAAGGATGAAATTCATAAATTGTAACAAACCACAGGGACCAAAAAATATAATTTACTCTAATTTTTATTACCTTTCATCAAGTTGCTAGTTGTGATATCCGCTCAATACGGCAGGAGCTGTGAATTTTAACAATTTTGAAGTTTCATTGGTTTTATTAGAGAATATTTAATAATGATATAAGTTACACTTGGTTTTTATATATTAATACAATTTGAATAAATAAGAGTTATGGTTTCAATTACAGTCTATCGATGAAAAAAAATTGTATGACAGTTTAAAATTCAATATATTTAAAATCCAACATATTTAAACGACTTCACAAATATGTTTGATTTACACCAAGAGCAAATAATTAAGAGATCGAGAGTGAGACCGAGAGTTCTAAAACAATTGAATGAGAGATGAATGAGTAAACTGTTAATAAGTCATGGTCAATATCAGTTTGAATCTCATCTTGGGGGATGAGGAAAAGACATAAAGGTATGAGAAGGTGAAGACATAAGTGAAATGTGTTAAAAGTATCTTGGGAACATGAAAATAAAAAAAAGTAATAATGTGTATAGGTAACTTGTACTAAATGCATTATGAGTTGTTTTTAAGACTTTGTGTATAAAAGTATAGTATTTTGTGCATTAAAAATTGTTTTTAAGATTTTTGATAAATCTGGTTTATAAGGTAGTATAAATAGATAATTTTCTAAATTTAAATCTTTTTTCTTGTTTTATCTATTTTGGATAATACTTTAGAAAACCTGTCGAAATAAAGTAGAAAACAAAATCTCCTTTTTATATAATAATTTTAGCAATTTTTTATTTTATATAATTCAATATTAATTATATTATTAAAATATATGATACATTTGGGGTTTTTTTTTAATTTAAATGAACTTTTTATATATACAAAGTTACGTTATTCTTTCCATCTGTCCTCTCTCCTTGTAGATAAAGGAAAGAGTTCTCGAGTTAAATGGCCATTTCTTTTATTTAAATTCGTTTTCTAACTATTTCTCTTTCAAGTTGACCCAAATGTCACTACTTATGCAATATTACGAACCTAACTTAAGAACAAAAAAAATCATATTCAACACAAATATGCAATTGTGACATCCATATATGCAATTGTGACAGTCAAGTCCACAATTGCAACGGTCAGGTCCATAATTGCGACGATCAAGTTCTCAATTGTGACTGTATACTAATAAAATTTAATCTTTTTTTATTTACATTCTATTTCATCCAAATTAAGTAAAAAATAATTAATTTACCTTATTTTCATTTCAAAATAATTAATAATTAATTTACTTTCTTTCTCCTAAAAAAAATAATTTGGAAATGTCTCCTTTTTATGATAAGAAAATTTTATTTTCACCATTTTATTGTTTTAGATAATATTTTAAAAGATTAAATGCATAAAATAGCAACCTATTTTCATAAAAAATTTTATTATAACATTCTACTTTTGTTTTTCTTAATTACAACAATGTACTTTTAAATTATTTTTTATTAAGACGTCGCACTTTAAAAAATCTACCCATTATAGCAATGGGTAACCTGTTACCTTTTAAACCGGTTAACCTCTTGATTTTTTTTTTTGTGGCTTTAATGAGGTGATGTGGATGACACATCATTTTAATGACTTAATTAAAATAAAAATAAAAACTTATTTCAAATTATTATTAGTGATTTTCATTTCTCGTTGCTATGATTTAAAAAAACATTTAATTTTTTTGACTTTTTTCTTATTAAGTTGCATGCAAATTAAATTATTTAGAGTAAAATATTTCTTAAATAAATATGTTACATTATTTTTGAGATACATTTTGTTTGTAAAAAAAGTAACACTTCTTATTTTATGTTGTTAAAAAAAATTCATATCTTTTAAAGTTTTTTTTTTAAAATGTTAACGAAATGAATTGTGTTATACAATTTTTTAATATTTTTATATTAATAAATAATTAAAAAATATAATTAATTTAATATATTTATACGTCAAGTAAAAGTTTTTGAACAAGTACAATATATTCTTTAAAAAATAATATTTTCTTGTTAAAAAAGGAACAATTCTTATTTTCTTTTTTCAAAAAATACATATTTTTAAAAAATATTAGTGAGATAAGTTGTCTTCTACTAGTTTTATTAATATTGATATATTAATGAATAATTTAGAATTTTGAATATTTATTAAATAACATGTAAAATAACTAAATATTAAAATTAAAAGTACATTTTTAATAAGAACTAGTAGATGCTATAATAAAATAATTTTGAAAATACAATGCTGTAATAAGAAAGTAACATCACTATAGTACATATGGACAACCTACGTGGACAATGAGGTTACATGAAAATCTAGTATAATGAGTAAATTTAAATAAAAATGTTACCCAATGATATAATGAGTAAATTTTTCAAAGTACAATGTTCTAGTAAAAAATAATTTAAAAGTACATTGCTGTAACAAGAAAAGCTGGAAGTACAATGCTATAATAAAGAAATTTATAAAAGTAAATTGCTATTTTGTACATTTTGTCCTATTTTAAATATTTTATTCAAACAAAAAACCTTCAAAATCTCAAATTTCATTACGCTGGAGATGCTCTAATGTGCCGTAGCAGGTAATGTCGTAATTATTAATATGCGCTATATGTAACGCATTTTGTTCAAGGTTCTGAAAACTTATTGATTAATGCATGTATTTTTTTTTTAAAATCATTAAAATTAATAAAATTAATTAAAAATCGGCTGATAAACATGTCTTGAGAATGATCATTGCGCATTATTAAAACAACATAATATTTAATCGTATTTTTTTCTATAATTTTTTTTATCATTATAACTAAAACATATCACATATTTATTTTAGATATAAAATATTTTGAATTATAATGAAATTTTAAATTAAATAAATTATATTAAAAACAATAATTTTAAAATGAACAATAACTTTATGATTTTTTTAAATAAAATATTTAACCTGTCCATCTTTTTTTAATGTTCTCGAGAGAAAAAAAAAGGGAAAAAAGATAAATTTTATATTTTGAGTGTGAGAGAAAAGAAAGAAAATCTTTCATTTTTATAAATATATCGTTATTTATTTTAGAATGGAATGTAAGGGTGGGTTTACGTGAGACCATCATGTTTTCGTAAGACCCGTTGGACCACATTTTTACACTTGAAACCTCACAACAAAAAGTTGTGAAGGTAAAATAAACTGAACCTTCATTGGAAAAACACTGTGAAGGCTGCCTTTACAACGTTTTGCTGTGAAGTTTCACAAATAGATTTTGTCAACTTGAATGGTATCGCCAAATTAATGAGGAGTTTCTAAATGCTGCATCAATGTGTGTGATAAAAAAAACATTTACCAATGTTTTTTTTTGAAGTATATAATATTTATATACGACAAATATAACAAATAAACCCACGCATTCTCCTCACATTTGATGAGGTTTGAACCATTAACCTTTTAGGAGATCAACGACTCACATACAACTATACCAACGTTTGCCATTTCTAAAAAAATGATGTCATATGGATTAACGTTAAAAGGTAAAATTTTACTTTTTTTTTCTTATTAGAATCCTATATTTTAATTAATTATTATTTTATTATATACGAGGGACTTGACGTTGATATTTTCTTGATCCGCCATTGGGTATTACCGTATATGTACAACTTTTTAAAGCTATAAATTGAATTCTATAAAATTAACTGACAATCAAATGATAGATGCGTAGAACACTGGATAAACGTTGAGCCATGAACATTCTGTAAATTTTGTTCTTTCTCGATCGGAAATTGCATCAATTTTTCGCTATTAATTTACAATAACATTTTACATATCACGATTGCACGAATACACAACTTAGAGTCTATTTGTTAGCAGCTTGTGAGCTTAATAAGACTCACAACTTATTCGGTCAGCTATACATGACAATTTAATAGCTACTTAATAATATAAAAACTAACTTTCTATAAACTTTTAGAGGAGATTTTATGCAGAAAACCAAGTTTTTCCTCAAACACGTCATCCCAATTAAAAAATACGTTCATTTCATCTATGATAAAATCCTACCTACCAAAACTTTTCCAATTTATATGAATAGATTAATCAACACAAGTATTAATGGAAAACCACCAAACAACCCCTTAGTCATTTGGTATTTACACTTTTAACACTATTATAAATTTTAGGTGTAAATATGAGGACCTATTTGCATTTTAGTATAAATTCAAGGGCTCAATTTGTAAATGTCTACAAATTAGAACTCTTGCCGTCATCTCATTGCTCTACTGCGCGCACCTTTGATCGTCGTTCCGAGCAGGAAATCTCTCTTAAACCCTAAATCATGAGACGAGCTTTACTCAACAAAATCACTGTTCGTTATCTGCTAACCCCACCACCACCTCCTCCTTCTCGATCCTTCACGCCCATTTCGAAAATCAATCATACACTCTTTGGGAGTTTTCGTTCCAAGATCAGATTCTTCTCAACTGAAAATGGGGATTCATCCATAGACGTACCCAATCCTGCTTCAGAAAAAAACAGCATTGATAAACCGCCAGCAAAGCAACTCGAAGTCGAGGATGTCAGCAATAAAGGTACCTTAACGATCGAAATGCGAGGGACATAGGAACTACGTTCAGAAACCCTATCTTAGTTTTGTGGTAGTTTAGAAAACTGCAAGTTTTGCTTTTGATATGGTGGTTGATTTATAAACAGAACCTTTTATAATCATGAGTTAAGTAAACTGACTTCTTTCTTTCCTTTTTTTTTTTCCTGGGAAATTCCGTAAATTCGTTTGGTTCGATGTGTTAAAAATTTATTTTTACTTCGTTGGTTATACCAATTTGGATGTTATTGTTTTCTTGGCTGTATGATTGATATGGATTTATGCATTGCAGAAGCACAAATCTTGTGCTTAAGATCATTCGTTATATATGGGTTTTGTTGTCCTAAAAGAAAGGAATATATCCCAACCATCCATCAAAACAACTATTGCTTTTAAAGGATTGATTCAGACACTGGATTTCTGAATCTATATTGTAATTTGAAGCAATTTATGTGAGTAAGAAGCTAGGATTCTTGAAAAGTCCACTTAATCTTTCTTTTTGATGGCAGAGCTGAAAATGCAGATAGAGAAGTACTTTAATGAAAAGGATGAAGAGGCGTTGCCTGCTGTATTTGAATCGATAATTAGGAGGAAGGTGAAAGGAAAGCATTCAGATACAGACGATGAGCTGCTGGAAGAGTTTCGTATGCAACCAATTGATAGTGTCAATGATAAGGAGTTTGAATCAGATTTTGAGGAAATACATGAAACGGATGATGAGATAGATAATCTGTATGATGCCAAAGATATTTTGATCAAGAGAATGACGAAAAACGAATTCTTTTACATGGATGATCGAAAATGGGAAGGGATGATTAAGGAGGCTACAGATACTGGTCATGTTAAGGATACTAAGGAGTGTGAGGAGATACTACAGGATATGTTCATGTGGGAGAAACTCCTCCCAGGTATTCACATTCTTAACCCCTTTCGTGTTTCTTCTTGTTCTGCCTTTAATGTCTCTTCTACTTGTGAAATAATCTGTGATTAGTTGATGGAAGATAATGGCTGAAGCTAAATCTGCAAGGTCTAACAGAGGCATAAGCAAATTCATAAAATGTTTTGGATATTGATATCCTTGTCTACTTTTTTAATTGCATTCTTGCTTTCTTTATGTTGATCTTGTGGCTATTGTTGCTTCAAGATTTTCTTGCTGATTACCTTCATTCCATTTAAGAGTGTGCCTTGATATTTGTTAAGCCATTAGTCACATACTCACATTCATACGAAATTTTCTTTTCACTAGATTCTGGTTGTGGACGATACTGATGGGATTGGTGCATCAAAAGGCACCTCAATTTGTCTGTCTTGCTTCATGGGAAAGTTGTTATTGTCCTTTGTTGTTTGAGTATGTTTCTAAGGGTGCATTTGGTATGTGGGACAAGACCAGACAAGACAAAACAAAAACTTGTTCCACGTTTGGCGCAGCATTTGATTGGTACAGGACGAGACTGTGTGAGACAAAAATGCATCTATTGGGCCACCAAAATAGGTGGAACAAGAATAAGGAAGATAGACAAGATTAGTAAATTACTAAGTGATTCATGTCAATTTAAAACTTTAAAACCTTCAACAATTCTTTCACCCGCCTACCTCACTCTCGCGCATCCAGTCCTGTACCGTCTCGTCCACAATCCTGTTTATGTACCAAACACATCCTAAGGCCACCGGTAAAAGCCGAGTGCATTGGGTTAGTGGTGCTCCCGGACCTACTTCTTGCTTGTTAATTTGGCAATTCAACGTATGCCAAGTTGCAACTGATAAAAATATCTTTCTATAATTATGCCTTTGAGCCTTCCATTTGTCATTTACTAGAAGTCTACTTGCCCACTGCAGCGCGATGCATCTCGATTCTAAAGCTGACAACCTGAACCCTTGATCCTGTTTCGTGTTTCGTTATATTCTCCGCCCCTTTGGATTTTGTTTTATGGTTGTGTGATTGTGAGAGAGCGAGAGAGTCTTTGGCTGGTTATCTGTTTTATGGACTATTGTATTAATAGGACTTAATGCTTATCTTCTATTTGAACATTTTTATAAGTTGGTTGACTATCAATTGATCTTATGGAGGTTTAGGAAGTCGTCAGTAGACTATACTATAATAACTTGTAACCTTGAATTTTAAGATATTTGTATTAATAAACAGTACCTGACTTAATAAATTGTTTGAGTTTTTACCAATTTGCTTTATAATATAGTAAAGATATTGGTGGATGTTTAATTTTCCTGTGAATGTTACCAGACCATCTGAAGAAAAAGGTTGAAGAAAAATATAATGAGATAGCAGATTTGGTTGAAACTGGTGAGCTTGAGCCTGAGGCTGGTTATGAGATATATCAGGAGTTCGAGCACAATATGCTCATGAAGCACGTTGAGGAGATGGAGAAAGCTGGTCCACCGAAGTTTGATGATGAACCTGAGAAGAAGGATGTAGATGATCCTCCTGGTGATGGACCGATACTTAGGTGGCAAACACGGGTCGTCTTTGTTCCTGGTGGTGAGTCATGGCACCCAAAAAACAGAAAAGCAAAACTGGCTGTCACTTTGAAAGAGCTTGGCCTTTCGAAGAATCAGTTTCGCCGACTACGAGAATTGGTTGGGAAAAGATACAATCCGGGAAAAGATGAACTTACGATAAGCAGTGAGAGGTAATGTCTACAATATACTACTATGCTGATCTTTATTTCATAATGTCAGTTAGGGTGTGTTTGGTATGCTGGATAGAACAAAACAAAAACTTGTCTCATGTTTGGCGTGACATTAGGAAGGGACACAAAAATCAGAGACATGGACAAGGTTGGTAAATTACCAAACTGCCCCATGTTAAATTAAAACCCTAAAACCTTCCACAATTCTTTCACTACTCATGCCCTTCCAGTCTAGTCTGCGTTTGGTGAACGCACCAGGTGTGAAAATTAATCAAATTGGTGAAACACTTAATTACCCACTACAATCTTGAAGAGAGGGGCATTTCAGCTCTTTATAGAGCTTTTAGTTTGACAGGAGAAAGAGCCAGCTTTTGATTTGACAGAAGAGATTCTAATTTTCTTGATTAAAAAGAGAGTTAGTAACGGATGGTTGACCTTGACTTCCTCTCGTCACTAGAACTTATTTTCCTCAATTTCATTCTTTTGATATTTTCATTTATAAAAAATCCAAAAAGATTTTCTATTTATTTATTTCTTAGGTTTAATGAAAATCTTTAAGTTGGGTAAGGCGAAAATTGGAATTTTTCTGTGTTTATGCATAATAAACCTCACTTCCCAGCATCGAGGACACTGCAACGAGTATTTGGCTTAATGCCCTTCCTAAGAATTCACCCTAAACTGAATCATCTCGCTGGAGTCCCACTTCAGCTACACATGGTCCGTCAAACTTGTATATATGTAGGAACCTCTTCTCTCTCTCTCTCTCTCTCTCTAAAAGGGATCTTCTAGAGAGAGATTCAAAGGGCTACTTGCACTTCTATTTTGGAATCTTGATTAATCGATGTTTTTATGTTTCTAGGTTTGAACATCGTGAGGAGAATAGGAAAGATTGTCTTAGGACTTTATTAGGCCTGATTGAGGAAGCTGCTAAAGCTGATAAGCTAGTTGATGATGTGCGGACTTCGTATGTGAAGAATAGACTTCGAGCCAATGATAAGTTCATGGAGAAGTTGAACGCCAAGATCATGAGAAAACAAGGATCCAACGTGTTACACGCATGATGAGGGTGTATGTGTAGAATGAACCACAAAGGCGAACTCGGGAAGGTCATAACAAGCATGTTCTACGACCGACCTGAATTTCTTTCTAGATAACAAAAAGAAAACGTTTTCTTTTTGGTGTTTTGATAGTACAATGAACATGAGAGATTGAAATCTTCTTTCATCGTAGACGTTTTTTTTGAATTTTTTTTTCCTTATGCATCGATCGAGTTTAGCCCTTGTTCCGCTTCATAGAGGTATAGGTGAATTTTAGACCATAAAACCTACGTTCCGGTATGAACGGTTGGATCGTGGTTCCGAATTATTATTTTTTGTTGTATAATTATAATTTGTTGTTTTTGTGGTGGTTTTGTTTCATCCCAAAAGATGGTGCACATAGAGCATAATATGTTCATGTAATTTGAGTATCTGAGCATTTAAATTTCATATCCTTCATTCCCTTAACCAGTGTTTGACTCTTCGAGGCGGTTTACCCGAATGTTTACTCGGTGAACGCTTACTGGTACGAGTCAACATTCTAACTTACTTAACTACGTATGATTGCAGTCTATTAAAACGGTATCGAATGCAACAATTTACCTGGTAAGCACTTACCGTGTAAGAGTCGTCACTCTCACTTACTGGAAAAGATTCTCTATTCTTATCATGGCTCTTTATAGGGTAAGATTCTCGGCCTTTGCCATGTTCATTTGCTAAGATAAATGACACAGGAAGCTTAAGCTTGTATCAGGTAAACGGTTAGAGAACAACCCTTTAGATGTGATCATCGTGCTCTTTTTTTGGATATATACAATAAATTAAATTTACATGCATTTCTCATCTTTTGGTGAGATTTAAACCCTTGATATCCTAGAAGAATGTGGGTTACCGGATACTGCTTCATTAATATCAATTTGAAAGTATATCGCTGTAGTAAGAAAACAAAAGTACAATGTTATAAAAAAAGACTTAATGAAAGTTAAACGATAGGAAAACGCAAACAATGCCAAACGAACCCACATTTATAAAGCGAAGCCTTCTTTTTCATTGTCTTACTTCTATTTGGTCTCTCATATATATATATGTATATATATATATATATATATAT